AACATTTGATTATTACTAATGTGTTGTGCCAGCACAATATCTGCTGTAATTTTCAATAGGTTCACTCAAGATAAATTGGAAAAAAAATATATTGAAGAATTAATGTTAGTTAAAGTTTGATAGCTGCTTTCCTTAAAAATTTGTTTATATCATTAAAATAACATTTCAACTTTAAAAAAAGATAGTGAATAAGTTTTTGTTGACCAGCCATACTTTAAAACAAAGTAGACATGTAAGATTTGTCAATGGAACCTCAAGACATTCTCCTGTTTGCCACTACACTTCTTCCTTCCTCTTCTTCAGAAGACAATATTTCCTCGGCACACTTCTATTCCTTTCAAATATCAATAGCCCATCCTATGCATACAGTCTCCTACAAGTTTCCTATCCATTCATTCTCGTCTTTCAGACCTTTACACTCCTTTCCACAGATTGGTCTCATTTCAACACTCCTTTACTGTCCGTTCCACCATTTTTTTCGGAATTCCATCCGGCTTAAAATCCTTCCTGGAATGCACCATCCTTATATGCATTTAAAACCCTCTTATTCCAATTTGATCAAACGCTGGCTCATTATTTATTGTGTAGCAAATCTGTTCTTTTCTTTATACATCATCATTTTTCTCTTTTATGAAAATGGAAAAAAGTTCGTAGCACCTATCACATAGCATCGTGAGTCGGTATTGTTTAGGTTTTTTTTTATATCTCTCTCTTATATAAAAAGATTTTAGTGATTATCATATTTTATTTTAGATGTATAAGGAGGACAGACCATAACAAAGGCAACAGCGAGATGGACAGTGAAGAAGACACTACACTTCTTATTCCCAGAATTACTTCTCCCTTATTATGGTTTTAAATTGGCAATAAGGCGTAATATATAACATAGATTTTTAAAGAAATTAAAAATTTGTCGGAACTGTGTTTTTGTTCTGTTAAAAATTAAAAATTATTTTATGTTGATAAGAAATAATACAATCTGAACTACTGAATACATGTAAATTAGTTATACAATTTGAGCAACAAGAAGTAAAATTAAATGAATTTGTGAAATAGGGATTGGTCTGCTGTATGCTGACAGGAGGTCAGTTTATAAGATTTTATATCTTTGAGATGTATATTTTTTAATAGTCATAAACTCAATTTTACCGTGTACATAAATATATTTTTTCCTTTCAATACACGTCTTGGTATATAGATTACAATACATTTCTAATTTTTTACAATATCATTATGAGCATTCATTTAAACCACTTAAGTACCGGACATAAATCATATATTTTATTTTTTTAATAGTAAAATGTTTTGCTTATAAAATTAATTTAATGTTCCTTTCTAATTTTATTTAGTTATCTTTATTTAACTGTTTTTTTTTTTTTTTGGATTATGATCCTATTGTTTATCTGTTTCACACACATCTTTATAGCTATGTATATACTTGTTTTATTACTTATGATTTAGTAATTCAGTTATTATAATAGTTCTTTTGGCCAGATTTATTGTTAATTTGCATGAAAATATTGCTAATTTTAAGGGACTTTGTCCCAAAATAAATTTGATTTTTTACTACTAAAATGGAATCCGAACTTAGCACATTAAATATTAAAGTAGAATATTACGTATGATTCTAATCAATTGCCTTTGAATGTAAAAATTGCAATTACAAAAGACCTACCTTAGTAATAAAAAAAAAGAGTAAGAGTAAAAATAAGAAAAATACATAAAATACTTATATACAAAATACAAAGTAATATCTTGTGAAATTAATTTAAGATTTGGACAATGTTCAAAATGGCCATTGACATGGATGCCACAAAGTAACAAACAGCGAGATTCATAAAAATCTATTTTAAAGAAATCCATTAAATGGTAACTTATTCTTGGAAATAAAGTAAATAATAAATAATTTGGAAGTGCTGATAAATTTTACACCTACGAAAATTCTTCCAGACATACATCATCATATCATAACATAACACTGATGCAGCCTACATGTTTCCATTTTCCAATTTTCATATATATTTTTAAAAATATAGGAATAAAAAGAATCCTGAAAGTTTCTTTTTAATTAAGTCATATTTCTTTAAAATTATTTTGTTGAATTTATTAAGTTTGAAATTTGATTTATGAAACATTTTTCTGAAGGTACTGTACGGAGTTGCAGTTCCAGACTCGAATTATGAAAAAATATAATAAAATAATATAATTAATATTTATAGATGGGCAAGTAGTCGAATGATTAATTATGAGGATGAAACAAAATTGTTAGGAATTTCATTCAATTTTTTATAGGGTTGGCCGACGTTTTGACCCACATGTTACAGTCATATACCACAATGAAATTATTAGAAGTTTACATTATTACATGCACGAACAGAAAATATTCAATTGTTTATTTCCATACTTAATTTTATAATAATTGCTTAATGTATAAAAGGTAAACTATTAAAATGTAATGATTGTAATTTATTTAATCAATTTATGTACACATGTTGAAATTAAGGGACTGTCACAGAGTCCAGTCCAGACATGCCAGGATAATGCGGAATGGACTGCATGTCTTTGATATGATGCAAAAAACCGGCAAGGCCTGGAACACTCCGGTGTCTAGCTGCAATGTTCCAGATCACACTGTTCTGGATGCGGTGTGGCATCCAAATAGAACATGGGGTAGTGTCACATATGATATGATGGTGCATGTCTGGATGCACCTTAACATAATAAAAGGAAGTAGAGTAGCATAGTAGTATGTTAAATAGTAAGAGAGGTTGCATAACCATACAACTATACAAAATCCCCAAGTTTTTTTTTTTCATGTTTGGTTTTTACAATGTTATAAACAAAAGTATTCAGTTGAATGAATTTATAAGGTATAAATACAAATCATAACAAGAGCAACCATAAAATTTACGTGAAGCCTACATTAAAAATTAACCGGTAATTATTTATTTATTATGATGTGCAGTTTATGTAATTTTTGATTTAAAGAAAATAATTTTAGGGCCATCATTAAAAGTACTAGAAAAAACAATAATTTTATGAACTTTGCTTTTATTATCTATTATATGTCAGTGAATTAACAAAAAAAAAAATTCAGTCATGTTTTCCAAATTGTTTGCAGATCCACAACTTCAATTCCTGCATTCTAAATTGAAACTAAATTCCTTAAAAAAATATATTTAAATCTATATCTCCTCCATTTTCTTCTGATAATAAAAAAGTTATTTTTAATTTCACAAATAGAAGAACATTGAATACAGTTTAAGCAAACATTTCAAGCAAGAAAAGTAATGAAATTCATAAAAAGGGGTGTCATGTGTGAAACAATGGCTACAAAAAGAAGATAGGGTACATAAATACTAAGAAAACTTAATAGAGCATAAAATCACAAAAAAATAGTTGAAGAATGAGGATAATATAGAGGTGACATGACTGTGTTGTGTTAGGTGGTGTTTAGATTAAGTGTTATTTTTCTTTTCTCTCTTGATACTTTTTTTTTTTTTCAGAATCAGTGAGGTGACACAACAATAATCATGTCATGAGCAACGTCGTGCGGGTACTACTAGTCATAATATAAACTGTGAAAATAATGGGTACAAATAAAATGTATGGTTTCATTTTACCATTTTCCAGGACAAGTCCTAGCCAAAAATAGAAAAATAAATAAATAATTCCTATAACACAACAGTAATATTTAAGTAAATCCATAAATAAAACAATGAAAAATAATAAAATTCGAGCTATATCGATGTGCAAACTCAAAAATCAATGAGTTCATACCTGGAATCAACAAGTTCAAATCCAAACCTTAATACAAAAAGCAGCTTGAGTATCCATAAAAAAAATAATAAAATAACATCTACAAAATACTATAACTTCCAATATCTAAAATAAACAAATCCCACCATTACTAAGATAACAATAAGTTTGTAATATAATTTCCTTAAATGTTGATCTTCGATGATTTAAAAAAAGATAACAACAGACTACTGTAATCATTCATCATAATCCAGCACTATAAATTAACATATTGGTCAATATTAATTTAAAGTCTTTCCTTTCCATCATCACAATCACTCAGAAAATGAAAAAAAATATCAAATATCATCTGGATGAGAAATAATTATAACTTAAAAGAATAAAAAAAAAAAAAAAGACAAAGAAACCAAAATAAGAAAGAAAGAATGAGGTAAGTGCAGGGAGAAAGGAGTACAATTGATTAGGGACAGAGAAATTGTGCCTTATTTACCGCAGTAATGCTGACCCGAACGAGTAGCTTCTTCTTCTCCCTCTACCTCCTCCCATACACCACCTAGTCCTAGCAGACACCAATTAAAGCTTTATATGCATACAAAACAAGAAATTATTTTTTAAAGATATTATTTTTCATTAAAAAATGATGTTCAAATTATAAAAATAGTTTCTAGAAAAGAAACTGAACTAAATTTATCATAATAAAAATCCAACTGAAGATCTTATTAATCATGGCCAATTTTTTTTTTTTTTTAAATAAGAAATATTTTAATAAATGTTAAAATGAAAAATTTCCTTTTTATATTTAAAATATCTAATGAAAGGAGAAGATTGAAGGTCTATTATAGCAAAAGCATTGATATAAACATCTTAAGAGTCATGTTGTTAAGATCATGAGTTAAATCACAGCCCCTACTTACCCGTATGGTTGGTGAAAATTTGGACCTGTCACAATGAATTCTGAACGGCTAGCTAACATACTTGCAAAAAGGGCTCTTATCAAAAATATAAAGTAAAACAAATGAATGTTACATTTCATGTACCTAGTCCTGTCATAAATATTGTTACAAGGAAATATATACAGATTTCAACAGAAAAAATAATTTCTTCAAAAACTTTATTAGAAAATAAAATGACTATCTATGGAGAGTAAAAAACAAAAGAATTTATTCAAAATGTTCCCCTTTTGCCTTAACACAGGCATTTAATCTCCATGGCCAGTCATCAATAGCAGCACGCAGCACTTCTTAAGGAAAACGCTCAACTGCTAGGAACAGAGATTGTTTGAGGTTTTCCAAATTAGGGTATGCTCTGTGGCATGCCATCCTCTCCAGTTCGGAACAAAGCCGATAATCTAGTGGGCTGAGATCAGGGTTTTCTGAGGTCCGATCCAAGCCATAGATGAACTCTAGAATGTTCTTTTGCATCCACTGCTGAGCTGACCTGGCCTTGTGAGCTGGAGCGGAATCTTGCAGGAAAACGCAATGACTTCCAGCAAACAGAGTATCGTTTAGAGCCTTGACAACAGGTTCCAAAATACCGTCCTGGTAGTTTTTAGCGGCTGTTTTAACTCCTTATTCACAAAAATTGAGCTTTGTGGTACCATCAATGCAAACTCCCCACCAAACCATCACTGAGGAAGGGTGATGGATGACCTCTTTCCACTCTTCCAAGGACTTCCTGGGCTTCTTTAGAGCTGTGTGCGCACACACGATCATTTTGGCAATTAAATTTTTCTTCAATAGTAAAAATTTTCTCATCATTATAATCAAAATCTTTCGGTGAAGACCATTGTCGTAACGGCCAAGGTGCACTTTGCATCTATCGACTCTAATCTTTTTTAGAGGAGTGGTTAACCTTTGTCCTGTCATTATTCGAAATATACCCATCCTAAGATCACTTCTTATTATGTGAGACCTTGATTTGACCGAGATTCCCATTTCCCAAGACATGAGTTGTTGTTTTCAAATGGAATTTCTTCTGATTCGAGCAGCCACTGCTCTCACTGCATTTGCTGTTCTCATAGTACCGGGACCGGTGGTCAAGGTCTGTCACATACAGATAGGGTCTCATTATATCTATTTATAGTGCAGTAAAAGAACATACAGCTAATACCCAAAGGTGTCAAAGTGTTGAATATCTCTGGCCTACATTTTCCAACTTTGTGTAAGGCGATCAGAGCTATTCAGTTTTCTTTATCACCCCACTCCATGTTAACTGAGCGAAAGAAAAATACAAACTAATTGGGATTATTATCCTGACATGTAAAGAAAATAACCTGATAGAGATAAGGATTATCTAAATAATATCCAAGGATGTAAACAAAGTTCAACTTTTGTAACAGTATTTATGATAGAATAAGGTAGTTTTTCAAGGGTTCTATTCAAGGTGCTTAAACATAGTTGCTTTCCATCTTAAGAAGAAGAAAGAGCTAATTGAATAGAAAAGAATTCAATAATGTCTAAAAAACAAAAAAAAATAAGTTTGTAAGATCTTAGGCAAAGGGGATTTGAGTTTAAATGACTAGAAATTAATGAAATAATTTTAGCCTTCAATCAATAATTTAAATGAAAATAAACTAAAAACAAAACAGAATCTATAAACTTTTTTTATAGTATTAAGATTTTATACAAAATCCTATTTTGCCAGAAATTTATAATCAATAAACTTTACAAAAGTTATTTAATCCTTCCGACTCCATAGGATTCTTAGAAGAAAGACCTAAATACACAGGGGTCTTTCTCAACCTCCTTTATTAAAGAGCCTTGGGACCATCCAAAATAAATAAAAAGTCATAAATTGGCACTCAGTTTTATATGAAGATGTTAAATCTAAAATTAAAATTTCTACATCAATAATAAAAAAATAATATATTTTCAAGATTATATTATAAACAATTGCGAACCTTTTTCTTGCTTAATATTAGGCTAAAATGAAAAAAAAATAAATAATAAACAATCACGATATCCAACATAAAAGAAGAGAGGGATTGATTACTCATAAAAAGTATCAATATCATAGGTCATTAAAAGTCTTATAAACCTAATATTAATATTTGAAGTAAATGATATGTATAAAATCATTCACAGCCAGAATTTTGTAATTTGAAACCTGTGTATTTTACATATGTGCATATTTTATATAAGAAATTAATTTGTTCACCTAATCCTACGGACATATGCAATGCCTCGCATATCATATGTCAATGTTAGTTTATCTATCCTCTTCAACATATCTTTAAACTCCTGTTTTATATCTAAGAGACATTCTAGAGATCTATTCATAATCTCAATATTTTTTTAGAATGTATGAGATGAGTAAGAGATCTATTCATAATTCTAAAGATCTATTCGTAATCCCAATATTTTTTTAGAATGTATGAGATGAATGACTGCTTATTGAACCATGCCAAAACATTTTCCTGAATTTTGAAATATGTCTGACTATGGTGGTCCTAGACAATTCCTAAACCAATTTTTGAAACATGAAAAAATGCATATAAATTCAAAAGTCTACAGACAGTTTTAGGGTAAGATTATAAATTGTTCTTTAAATTAATGCAAATATGTGTGGGGTAAAAAAAGTAGCCCATGGTAATCACAGGATTAAAGAAGTTTGTACATAGAATTTAAAAAAAAGATTATTGTACACAAACAACTGTCGACATAAACACTCAATGGGTTAGAGCACACTAATGTCATTTAATAAAGAAATGATAAAGAAAGACATGCTATTATAAATATTAGGTACAATAGTGATTAGTCAAAACAAACTATTGTTTAGAAATATATTGGAATGAATAAAAAATACTTTATAAATAATCCAATAAATTAAAAAAATAAATAAATACTTTTAAGATGATAAACCATAAGAGTATGCAACAGGGGCACACATTAAGCACTTTTTAAGAACCATAAATCATCACAAATTAAAGATTTTTCATCTTTTTCATTAAAATTTAAACAGGACAACAATCTTAATATTTTTAAAATACAACAAACTATTAAACTGATACACACACTTTATATAATGCTTTACCTAATGGACGCTCAAGAGTTTTGGAAGTGGTGCGTACAACTGGAAGAGATGATCTTTGACGGTTTCCTCGGCGGAAACCTGTTGAAGAAGTCTCCACTTCCGACATAATCCCAGGGTCATCATCGAGAAGCATATTGGGAGGAGGATAACCACGAGGCTGAGGTGACTAAATATAAAACAAATAAAAATAAACAAATGTGACAGATATTCAATTTTTTGAAAATTTACTATTTACTAATTTACTATTATCTACAAAAGGTGAAGTGACTTTTAAAACAGATAATCCATTTTTATGAAGAAAAAAAAAATTTTTAATACCCGAAATAAGGTCTTAAAAAGTTTTGCATTTCAATACGCCAAAAAATGAAAAATATAGAAATTTTCTAGTGAATTCATTTTTAATAAACTGGAAGGTTTTTATCACCGAAAATGGATATAACTGTTTTCAAAATCAAATATCACGATTACATAAAAGTTTGCAACAGCTAAATATCAGATAATACTGAAGTTTTTATAAAAATTGTAGGAACAAGTAATCACCTTTCTACGGCTAGATTTTGTCCCAGTCTGATTGCAGCATGTAAAAAATAAAATAAAATATTAAAAGAGTGAACAAAAAGGTAAAATCCAAGCATATTAAATTTGTAAAGGATAATTAAATATAAAATTTAATTGAATTTGTTTTACTTTCACAAAAGAACTCCTAAAATAAATAATTAAAATGAGATCATAATGGTCAATGTTGCATATCATTTTTGGAATATTCTTCAAAATCTTTCATTCATTTTCAAAAATATAATAAAAATAAAGTAATTTAAAATAAGAAAAATGAGTAATTTTCATATTTTATATAATATTACATAATAATAATAAAAGACTTAGCGAACCCAAAGGTTTGATACTGACAACATCAATCGCTTATTACACCTGCTCAATTAGAATATTATACAGTTTCTGGCGGGAAATAGAATTGTAAGCCTTTTTGAAATTGATATACAGCTGATGAACAACACCATTGTACTCTAATTTTTTCTCCAATATTTTCCGTAAAGAAAATATTATCAATTAGATCATAGTTCTGTCTAAATCCATATAGGTAGTCTCCAACGATTTCCTTGGTGTATTCCGTGATTTGACTCGTTAAGATTAAAGTGAATATTTCATGATATACCGGAAGGAATGAAATTCCTCGATAGTTATTACAATCCGTTCTCAGAGCCTTTTTGTGAATCGGAATAAGAATAGATTCTTTCCCTTCTTTAAATAATTTCTCAATCTCACAGAGTTTTTTAACCAACAAATGTATTTTAGAAACTCCAGCTTCTTCACATGCCTTAGTTAGTTCATTAGGAATATAATCAGTTCCCGCTACTTTATAAGATTTTAGTTTTGCGATAGCTATTTCAACTTCCTGTTTACTTGGTTCAGTACTCTGGTACTCAGGAGGACATAGATCATAATTTCTAGTATTTAAAATATTGTCAAAGTTGTTCTTAAAATTATTTAATTTGTCTACCGGATCGGTCAGAATACTGTTATTTTCATCCCTAATTTCAGACGTAAAGGACCCTAAATATCTATGTGATCTGTTTATACCTTTGTACATGTCTCTTACGTTATTTTTGAATCCATTAGTTTCTATTTCTATTATATTATTTTAAAGATACTCCCTTTTTTTTATTTGTAAGCAATTTTGTCCTTTCATTCTTAGAGCTTCAGAAGTATTCGAGGTTGTCTACATTATATATTTTTTATAAACCTACAATAATATTTGAGTAAGTGTGATTTAATTTATAATCAAAAATTGAATGTTAATAAACATTAAAAATAATTAAATAATAAGTCAGTCGAGAAACAGTCACTTAGAGCATTGGGCATTTAATGGTAGAGAGATCTGATTTTTTACTTCTTAAACAGCATGATCGGCTCAAAGCTCCTTCCCTCTGATCAATCCTTAATAAATTTTCAGGATTATGTGGACCCCATAAGTGTTGTCAAAACACAATTCCCACTCAAAATATCCTATTTTCTATCATGAGAATATTCATATCCAAAATGGAAAGCTAAGAAAAAAATCAAGCTCATTCTATATAGGGCCTAAATTTCTATACCAATTTATATATATTAGTAAAACTAACCAAAGCTAGTGGTTTGGTCATTTTAATTATAAAATTAAGTACCATTAAATAATTTAATGCTTATAGTAAAAAAACAAAAACACTGTATACAAGCGCAATGGACACTGAAATAAATCAAATAATAGTTAGAAACTATCAAAATAAGTACCTGGATCATGTAATTGAAACATTCAAATTATGGCCAAATTCATATAAAATTATTTTATAGTTGTACTAAGTTTTGCACTATTTGAATATTTATGTTATGTCCTTTATTGTATAATTTTATAAAATAACCTCCAGTTCACATAGATTCATAATTATGCTAAAACAAATTATGGAAATCAAAGCTTAAATTACTGTATTTGTGCCTAATTGACCATTCATACTTTGGAATGAAGATTAAGTTTAACTTATTTATGTATTTACATAAAATTTATGCAGCACTTTACTTACGTAACAACAGATTGTTGGTATAGTTCACACGGAATATGAATAATGTATCAAATAGTGTTCATTAAATAATCTCTTGGATGGTATAGAAAGGTGATAAATCAGCACAATTCATGCCAGAGGTATTAGGACAGGCTATTAAGTTAATTTTAATATAAATTGTAGTATTTATTATATTGGCTAGTTTTATCTTTGTTTTTTAACTACAAATTAAATAATTAAAATGATTTGTTATAAATAAACGTATTTGCTAAAGTTCTAAATTAAATTAAGGTACCATGAATTGCTTAATTAAACAGCTTTTGAGGTGATGCATTAATGTTGCCCAATGGAGTAGTTTTTTTTATTGTTGTATATTTTAATTTTATAAAAAACAATTTTAGCCTGTTATATTTGGTTTTGTCGCCATACGATTAGCTCTTAAAAGGTAGACAACATATTGTATTTTAAATAAGATCTAATAAAACAACCCTTTTGAAAATGGTTGGAAGGAAAAGAAACATGAATATTTACATTAAAATGAAATATCACAGAGAAATCATTACTATAAAGTAGTAAATCAGATATTGACTCATTGATAAGTACGATTATTAAGTTTTCAACAACAGATGATTAACAATTATTAAGTTTACAACAACAGTAGATTAAAAAAGTTAAATTTTAAAAAGGTTATAGAGGCAAATAACATATTATCAGCAGGGATGCCCAGAAGGGGGTTTAATGCGAGATGTGCCATCAAAATATTTTGAGGGTTTTTTGAATTTTTGAGAGGGACACATTTCGATGGAGTAATGAATTTTTTAAATGAAAAGTTTTAAATCAAAAGACTAGTGGAAGCATAGAACATAGAGCAGGATGTGTCAATGTATACAATTTTTTAATTATACTTTTGTTTGCACTATTTTTAAAAAGAGGAAAGCAATAAAATATCTTAGGAAGGGTGAGGAAAGGTTCGTGCACTATCGACCTTGGGGGAGGGTAGGATGGCCACCCCTGATTATCAGAAATATAAAACTATTTTCTTTACACATGGATTACAAGAAAAATAATATTTCAAGCAGAAGATAGTCCAGGAGATGGTCAGAAAAACCATCAAATAACTGCTAGATGTTTATTCACTGTCAGTTATGAGGTTTTTTCATCATCTCCTTGGTAAATTATCATATGACCAACTGTTGACATAATATTTATTCAAATAACAGACATCATATTATGTACCATACACATGAGGATGTCTGATGCCAGATTAAAGTAGCAATATTAGTCATAGAATACATAAAAACATTTCAAGATCAAAGAAAGAAAAATTAAAACTCTACTGTTTAGTTAATGGAAAATGAATTTCAATTCATACCTCGAGATCAACACTCCTTAGTTGAGCATACCTATGCTCCGATGAGGACAGGGTATGTCTCCTTAAATCATCTCGTAAACGTCTGCTACCTCCCCTCCCACTACTCCCTTCCTCTTCACCACTACCTCCTCCACTACCCCTACCTGTAAGAAATTTTAAATTATAATCATATCTTAAATTCAGTTTTAAAATATAGGCAATACTTAAGCAGAGAATTATTATTCAATTTTTGAGTCATGAAAAAAAAAACAAGAATATATGAAAGTAACTTAAATAATACGAAATAGTCTTGAATCTACACTACAATGCAGTAAATAATCATTTTAAAACTAAGAATTTCTATTAAGAATAAGGCTGATAATCAGCTATGATAATCATTCATTTACGAAAGGCCAAAATAGAAAAATAAAAACAATCAAAAGTTAGATCTTCAGAGATAATTAGTAAAAAAAATAATTAAATCCTCCAAAAATAAATCTATGGAATTTTCTTTGACAGATTTTAAATGATAACTAAAATAAAAGTCTAATTATAACTATAAAACTATATATATATATATATATATATATATATATATATATATATATATATATATATATATATATATATATATATATATATATATATATATATATAATTTTAAAGAATTTGTTCAAAATAGAGTTTGAATTTAATTTATTTAAAATTTAAAAAATCATTTAAGAATATTACAGTAAAAATAATTAATACTTGATATGATTTAATTATTTTCTTCTTATTATTACTAATTGATAAACAAAAATAACTATAAATAACAAATAAATCCACCAATCAATACCTACTTCAAGAATATCAATGGACTCAATGGCCACATGGAATAAGGTAGTGGGTAATAGTAATTGCTCGTAAATCCATGTTTATTTCTTGGACCAGACTTCAGCTAAATCATATAATAAATCATATAACAGGTAACCAGTTATATCTGTGGGTCCGGAATACATTCAAAAACTAAATCCTTTAGAAAAAAATCTATGGAATTCAGGAATTGAATTGAAGAACCTTGAATATTAAATTAGGCAAAACTAGAATACATTACGGGTTTAACCATTAAAATAATTTATAAGGTTGTCAAATATTAAGTTATACAATCATTACCTAGGGAAAACAATTCAGAAAAATGGAATAGAAAGTAAAGACAATGAGTCTAGATACTAAAAATTGGAAACAACCTAGTAGCATATCACCCAAAATGTCTAAAACGAAAATTGCATTTCTTAACACACAGAACTACGATACTAAAATAGAGTGACCAAGCCAGAATGTCTATATGGATTAGAAACCCTAATTTCGAACAGAAATCCGAGACAAGACAACCAGTACACAGTCAGGAGTAAGAAAATCAAGCAATATACAGATGTTCTAAGTAATATAATGAAATGTAGAATACATTTCTATGGACAAAGCAAAAGAATGGTCTATAACCTATTTACCAGACAAATAGTTGAATTTTGTAAGAATAGGAGTAAATTGGGAACTGAAACTATAAAATGGATTAGTGAAATAAAAATGGTTCTCAAATTATCAGGGATTACACAAGAGAACATTTAAAACAGAAAAAAATTAAAATTAAAATTTCACAATTGGTGAACTGAACCGGGAAAACATGGTCTGAAGAGTGAAAAGAGCACACATCAAAAGGATAAAAGAAATAAGAAGGCGCAAAGGAAGGCTAGGAAGCGTATCTGAATACATTGGATAGCCTCTACCGTATTTATTTGCTAATAATATTAATAAAGTTTTTATGAGAATACATGATTATTTGAATGTGAATCAACAAAATTGTATTTCAATGAGGATAAAAAGAAGTAATAAATACTAATAGAAAATATGAATACAATAATAAATAGTTTTGATTTAGCAAATAAGTAATATGAAATTAAATATTTAAAATTAAAAATAAACTCTAAACTTTATTCAATTAATGCAGTTCAAACAAACCAAAGCCGAGAAGGAATGACTGCTGTCAAAGCATTTGATATTGTGATCATACAAACTTTTGAATTAAGAAGTCATAATAAAAGAAATACTAAGAAAAAAAAAGAAATTTAAGAAAAAAGAAAGTTTTATGAAATAAGAAAATGATGTTGAATTTATGTATGTTACATTTAAAATTTTGAATATTAATAAAAAATTGAAGATTATAAACATTCTCAATTATGCATATTTATGTTTATTAGTTATTACAAGAGGTAGGTTAAAGTTACCATCATATATTTAGTTTGATTTAGAATATAAAAGAAACAACAGTAGACCTTAACGATAATATACATGGATTAACCACATGCTAAACTAACAACTTCCATTTGAGGGTCATTAGGATTTGATCTCATCCAATTGGCTACTAATCAACAACTGGAATTCCAACTGAACCGAACCATTCAACAAATAATTGTTTTTCATTTCTTTGTAAAATAATAAAAATCCACAGCTTATGTGGTTATCATTCTAATTTCATGACAAAAATTATTACTATTATAAAAAAGAGAGCTAGAACAAAATCAAAATCATAAGGAATAAATGGTTCGCTAGTTCACTATTTTAAGATTTGAACAAAAACATTTTTATTCTGATTCTCTGTTAATAAAATGCATAAGGTACACCTACAATTAATCTTAAATTGTTAAATAGTAATATTTAAAGAACTTTACATCTGAAAAAAATACTTCTAATACACCTCTGAAACAGAATTCAGTTAGGAATTTATTCAAGTTAAAATGCACCTTATGTATATTGTTTTTTATGTATATATATATGTAATATATACATAAGTGTCCTTATAAATAAAGAATAATGTTAATCACAACTAAACTTCATGATTTTGTGAAAATTGATCTATTATGACAAAGGATTAAAAAAAAAAAAAATCATAAGAACATAATAATTACCAGAGCCCGGATTCTTATTATGCAATTGAATATTTAATTTGTATGCATTTTTCAAACAGTTGATCAAATAGCTTTATGAATCAGTATATTTAGATGCACTTTATGAATCAGTATATTTAGATTTTAATATGCATTTTTGAGCATAAATGCACAGAATTGCATACTTTGATCATTTTGATCAAAGTTTTACCTTTTACCTAAGTAAAATAATATCTATATAAGGCATTAAAATGCAACACTAAGCATGAAATTCAAGATCACAATCATAGGTTCATTTTCAATAAACCAATCAACAATAAATCAACGAAAGAACAGTATCTCTCAAATTCTTGGATAATAGAATTTAGATATTTTTCATTTTCTGCTTTTCTATCTTCCCTTATTATCCCTTTTGAATACTACACTCAATTTCAATTTCAGCTTATTGCTTATTTTTATCAACATCCGTAATATTTATTAATATTGAATATGCTGAAAATAAGCATATCATTTTTTTCAAAATTAAAATCTTGAATCGACCCATACGATAGCAAACAGTTTTTACAACTGATGTAAATTCAAAATCAATAATTTAAAGAGCATATAAACTTGCTCCCAGCACATCTGTTGATGTTAATGAGCACTTTATAATTATAAAAATATTATAATAAAAAATTAAGTTTCAAAAACTAAATTAAGAAATGCATCTGGTAATTAATTTTAGTGCAGAACATACAATGACTAATTCATTTTTGTTTTATTTATTTTGCTCAAGTTGTAAATTAAGTTATAAATACAGTCACTATCAATATTACCTTTGATAAATATTAATTAAGTTTGTATGTTAATCAGATTTATGTTTTAATAAGCGTCTAACAATATACTTTTAATACATTTACAAACTGACTGTTTCTTTTGTTTGATATGTGTTTTAGTTATTTTCAATTTGTGTTTTAAATTTATTTTGTTCATACTGTTGCTTGGTTTTCTATGCTAATTACATGTCTGAAATATCTTGATGTTTCAGTTATTAAAAATTGTTTCATGTTATGTTTTTAACTATAAAATCATTTTGTTAAAAAAAAATCAATAAAAATTTAAATTATTTTTATATAACTTTTATCCCTGCCTTAGTTTAAAGCATTTTTTTAGTCGCACCAGTCTTTTTGAATATTTTAGTTATCTTATTGAATTTTGGAGATTTTTTGTTGTATATTTTATGGTTTTTTAATGATTGTTATATTTTTTATTGCATATTATGTGGCATATTCTGCATACAAATCTGGACTCTGGTTATCACCCATTTCAACATGCAAAATATATATATTGGACAAAATTAAATTCAGAGTCTACAAACTACAATTTAATTTAAAAAATTTCTTTTGCTAAAATATTGCCATATTCTTCATTAGGCATTGATAGTAGCAGTCACATTGTCTTATTCGGATGATTAATACTTCATTCTATGTCATATCAACTCACATCGCAACAGTAGTGGATGCAATCAATAATCAAAAGAAACCCAAAATAGAATGTCTATGCTTCAAGATGGTCTTTTGTAAATATACATTCTCTTCCAAACCAAAACGGGTACCAAACATACAAATAGTGAGGGAGTTTAGTACCAGTTATTTATTCCTACTGTTTAGATAACAGATGGAGTCAGTAAAGTTAGTTCACTACAAAAACCAACAAAAATAAAAATTCTTACATGAAATAATTCTTTTCTAATAAAAGTATTAATATTATTGCCATCACAATACATCAACATTATTAATAAATCAACTGGGAATATTTTACAGGATAAAAAGTTACAAAATAAATTCAAATGAAAATTTCTAATAAAAAGAAGGAAACTACATAAAATTAACCAAGAGCCAAGGTTAGTGTTTCAAAAATGCAAATATTAAAAATAAATACAGTTAATATTGCACAGGTGTATTGTTTTTTGTTTTGTTTAAAGCCATAATTGTTAACTAAATAAATTGTAAAGGAAATCTTCCAAGCTTGAGACAGTCATTGAACTAACAGAAACTGCTCAATGTAAGGGTTACAGTCAGTTCAGACAGATAAGGTAAGAGGGGTAGTGATAATCAAAACATTAAACTAAAAATATCAAATAGACACAATACCTTCTCTGTGAAGGAGCAAAACTGTACCTGTCGGCTCCCGACAACACATAATAGTTATAAATCACTGGTACCTGTAGAATATACTTTGATGAAAACTGAGCTCCGTTGAGACTAACTATTGATTAATAAGAAACAAAAAATAATCAGTTCAATATCACACCATGAACTGGGTCAAAAAAGCACCCTAAAAATAAATAACTTGGCAAATGCCCAATAGTAACTCCTGTTTTCTTCCAGTACGGTTAAAAAACTTAGTGAATATATTAGTTCAGCAAGTTCTCTTCAATACTCCACATCTAATTCTATCTTCATAGACTGATGCAATAGTATAATAATTGGTAGTTTTGTTCAATGAACAGGAATCATCAAATGCCATATTTATCTTATATATTTAGAGACTTGAAATAATTACATGAAACTTTTTTGTTTAAACATTTCATGGAAATAATTAATGGGTAATAATGAAAATAAATATTGCAGTGATATTTATATAAATGAATTTTTAAAAACTTTAATAGACTTCAGTATTCCTTAAAAATAAAAGAAATATTAGTAGATATCCTTAAATAAATTATGCTAGTCGTAGGTAAAATTGAGAATTTTTTTTTACATTTCTGTACAATTGAGAATTTTAATTGTTCATTAAAATAAGGGATTGGGGAAAATTGAATATGTGCACATAAATTCAGCAGAAAAACAAAAAGAGAAAATACTACATATTCTGAAAATAGTATTCATGAGACTATATACATTTATTTTTTAAATATAAATTCAATATGTAAATAAACATTATGAAATTACAGGATTTTTTTTTTTGCAATAAACCGATAAACAAGTAAAGAAAAAAAATAGATAACACTGATGAACCATTAAATTAGTTGAAAAGATATCTTTTCAAATCTTTTATTATGCAGTTTGTTTAGTTTAGAAAAAAAATGATACATTTTACAGTAACTCTCAACTACTCAACAATTCTTTACGCTTTCTATTTATTTTTTGTAAATATGATTTATTTTTCATATATTTAATATAATGTATGACTTTTATAACAGTTTGAATCTAACTGTCAACTGTCAGCCTACAAAACCAACTCAAATACTATATTTTGACACAGATCTGTATGATCATTACTCACAGAATAAATATTTCTATTATTTACATAATAAATAGAATGAAATAACTATCTAGTCAAATAAATCAGAATAGTTGATAAGATAACCTTACCCGGCAGGGTAGCGGCTTTATTTTCTGAGTTCATGATGTTAATATTTAACCGATAGGAAAATTAATCCCAGGATAAGATAATAATTGCCGGACAAACCATACACATTGAACTGAAACATTTTCACTTAACCGACACAAGCCGGACTACGACAGAGTTGGCACTGAGGTTTTGTTGTGGCTGCCGCCATAGGGAATTTTCCCTCCTTGGGATCAATCGAAATGTCCCTTTGGCTGGTGGGTCTTCTTTATGCTGGGCCCACACTACAGGCAAACTCGGTTTGGCAAAATTTCTGGCAAACTTGCGGCAAAATAAGGAACTAATCGAAGCTCGTTAACCATGGAAAATGTGCTCAGTAGGACGGAGTCAGTCCAAGCAAACAACATGGACCTTCTAGAATTGCCGTGGGGTTGATTGCTACTTTTGGTTATGTCTTCTATAAAATAAAAGCAAGTAGAAGAAAATAAGTGGAGAAAACAAAGAAGATGACACATGTCGAAAATTCATGAGAATCATACAAGGTAAGCATAAAATTGATCTTAGTTTTCCTTATTAATATCAGTTGTTTATTTCTTTGCTATGACATTTCTCTATAAATACATTTTACCTTGTTTTTCAAAATATATTTCTGTAAAGCTAATTAACGCGATTTTATGTAATTTTTCACACACAATTGCTAGGATTGTCAATTTCCTTCCGTTAAACATAGTCAATTATTAATTCTCTAACCAGTGAAAATTCTTGATATATCCTCCGTTTACTGCATTCAATTCATGCACTATGTGCATATTTGATATAGGTTAACTTTCAAGATTTTTTTTTTTGAATTTTGACTTTATTTACCTATACAAAAACACTGTATGGGCATGGAAATGAAACAAACCCTTTTATACATCAATTATACTTACAAGAAGCACACAATTTTCTGATTTTATAAAGAAAAAGATATTCAAAGTTCTTGATTACTTAAGAAATAATGAATTTTCACTTAATTACTTTGCAATGAGCTGCCAATATTTTTTGAATTATTTGATTCAAGGAATGCATTTAAAAATTTTTTTCTTCATTTATTTATGAGGTTCTTTGATTTACTGTATAGACATTTTTTACAATTTAGTGAATGGTTAATTCCTCTTTTACTAAATTTGCAAGTGTTACTTTATTATTTTTCAATTCAAACAATCAATTAAGTCTGTAGTAAGTTAATTTAGTTCTATTTTCTTTTCTAACGTCCAACTTAAGTACATCATCTCAAAGGAAACAATGGACAAGGGGTGTTAATTATTTAGCATTTAACTGGTTATTTATATTTAGTTAATTGGAAGTTCATTGTTAGTTTTCGATATCCCTCCTAGTCTATGATTAAGTTATTTTTTTTATACTTTTTCATATAGCAAAACAATGTACATAGGGTAATGACTATAAAGAGAAAATGCCCTATGATGCCTTAGCCATTCTGTCTTGTTTCCTTAACCCTCCACATTATCTGTTTACCCGTAACAAATTATTTATTTTCTTCTGTTATGAATTTGATTCCATTGTTTCCTATTTCAATTAAGGATTAGTTTTGTTTTTTCCTCGACTTTCATTATTAATGTAAATGTTACATAGCTTTTATTTGTTCTCTGTAAAATTGAGTCTTAAAGTGTGCCAGACATAGACCCTCCTCTAAAAATGAAAATCTCAACTAAATGTGTTATAAGCATCGCAAAAAATAGAAGGGAAAAAATTATAACGAAATTAAAAAATCTGATTTTTTAGTTGGATGATACCAGGCCTAAGATTGGTAATTTTTTTTTTTTTTCAGCGTTCCCCTACTGTTGAGTGTGAACATGAAGGACAGGCTGAAGTACTCGATGATTCATCTTTATTGAACAACGGTATGTATTGCAGCCTAAGACAAAAAATAAATCAAACAAAGGCGAAGAGAAAATTATGGCCCCGTTCAATAAACTCGTCCAAATAATAGAAAAACAGTGCGGAAATACAAATAAACCCAAAACAATTGCACAGAATTATGGGTCCATGTTAGGAGAAGGGTTGGACCAATTACTTCAACCAGAACAAAGTTTGTGCATATGTGAAATGGAACAAGGCTTGGGGAAGATGTGTGCGGACTTTGTGGAATAAAAATATTTGTAATATTGAAACCAGCACTAGTTTAAACAAAATGGCAGCCTGTGCCCGTGGTATTGCGAATGCACCATAAAGAGTGATTTTCCAGCAACATGCTGGGCCATTTAAAAAATATAAAACAGACACTTTTTCTGTAAATACTAGTAAGGTTGTACCTCCAAAAAGACATATTATTAATAAAGCCTTTTTAAAGGTGTTTGAAGAAGATGGAGAATAATCCAGTAAATTATTAGAATACTCATTAGTTATTCAGATTTTTCTGATGCATTTAAAAATGCTTTATTTGTAATGTTAAATTCCTTTATTCATGATGTATAAACAAAAACATATCTTGTATTCATTAATTTGTATGTTGTATTAATTCATTTATATTTTGTATTGTATATTTGAACCTAAAAATATTTATTTGTTCATTAATAGAATTTCTATTTTGTATAATAATAACAAAGTTAAGATATAAAGATTAATTTTCTAGCAACATTATAATTATTAAATTTAGTTTATGTATATGATTTATTATATTTTGCAAATATATGGGTTGTATGTATTATAAATAACATCTTCCATCATTTCCCTTCAAACATATATATTACAACTTGTGTATAAATAACCAATAAATGATAGGTATATGTCAAATTTCTAAAATTAAAAATGCGAATAACAAAACAAAGGCAGTCTCACTATGTGGTTAAAATTTCCACACTTAGACTTAATTGTTATTTTAATCAGACAATGTTTTATACAAATATAACTTTTTTAGGCTTAGGATGGTTGATTATTTATTGAAGTAGGCATCAAAATTGGCACTGTATGATGTTAGTCTCTAACCATGATACAGTCATTTAATTACAAATATAGTATTGTATTATGGTGTTTCAATATGTGCTTAAAATGTTATTAATGCAACTTTATTAGAGTCTAGGTTAGTAATTTTGTGAGTTGTTCGGTTTTATTTGAACTGAAGATATAGAAAAAAAAAGAGATATAGCTTAACACTAATGTCTGTGAAATGTAAAATTAGTAGACAGCCTGACACAAATATGGACACTGAAAAAGAAACTAATCATTTAAAAAAAATAATGAATACTTGTTTTCAACTCTCTAAATGTAGAACAAGCATAGGTTAAAAAATAAATAAATTTTGAACTTTTTTTTTTATATTGACTGTAAATAATATTTGAAAATGGATATTATTTTATTTTAATGTAATGCGAAGTATTGGGATCATTAAAAATTTCAACTCTGAGTTTTCAATTGAAAAACATGTTGTAGGGTTCTGTAAGCACTTCCCTGTATAAAAAAAACTTTTTGCGTAATGGTTTTTTTGTGTAAATGCAGAATCAAGCTAAAAATTGAAAAGTTAAGTGATTATACTTATTTATTAAGGTTGATAGGAGTATGGCAGCGATGTAATTGCAAATTGTTGGCTGAATTAATTTTACCAAAAGTGGAACTTGACATAATTGGTTTTATAGAGTATTTCAATTGAACTATAAAACGGAAATAAATAATGAAGAGTAGTATTAGATGAAGAAGAAACATGAAATGGAATAATAAGATCTAAATAATAAAATGTAATTAGATGAATTAACAAAAGCTTAGTTTATGATAATAACAGGTAATGAATAAGTACGAAAGGTTATGATATATATGCCTTACACACAAAAAGATGATAAGTACAAAATGGCAAATATATGGAAATATAATAAATCAAATAAATATATATAAGTAATGAAAAATGGCAATAATAAGTAATGGATTAAAAGTTTTGATATTTAAAATATATTATGTAAAAATGTTAAAAGATATAATATGTTATATTTCATATCTTATTTGATTTTATTTATATGAATCCTTCTGCTAACAAACTTCCATAATTCATTTAATGGTAAATAATATCTTCATTTAATTTTTGTAGTTTATAATGATTTGTTTGTTATTACTGAAAGACAGAAAGTTAGTTGCACAGAAAATTTTGATTTTGAAAAGATTTTGATTAAACTCGTGTATCGTTGTATAATTAAGTGGTCTTTAATATCATTGAGGTCTTATCCCCATTAATGTCACTTTACATAGCTTAAATGCCGAAATGTTCAACATATCTTCCTCTAAAGTACATTTAATTTGATTAATCGTAAATAATTAACCATCTCTCATTATTAATAATTACCAAAAAAATGCTAAATATAACTTTTGAAAGAATTTGATAATTGAAAAATGAAGAAAAAAGGGAAAATGTGTATTGAGGATGAAAATGAATTTCCGGAAATACTTGTCAGAAGTTATATCGTTGGAAAGCGGATAATTTTAGAAAAAAACAATATGAAATATAGAAAGTAATGGAGAGAAATTATTATAAATAATAATTTGTGTAAACTAATATTATTTTACGGAAATCACATTTTTTCAAGGAAATTAAATAAATGAAATTTACTAACTAAATTTAAATTGTTTTTAAGTTTGAAAAAGTATTTAAAATTCACCTAATCAACGCAATGTTATTGTTAAAAAACTATTTCATAGTACTAATGTGAAAGAAGTGAAATATAAAAATATTAAATGGATGTATAAAGCCTATGTTTATAACCTTAAATACATTTACTGTAGTTTAATAATTCTAAATCTGATATTATATTTAAATAATTAGGTATCAACGTCCGTTGATCGTCGTATAACATTTAAAAAAATTAAATTAGTGAGTAATTTGATGAATTTTCCCTTTGTTAAATTAGTGTAACAACTTTTGAGCTATCTATGACAGGCTATGAAAATCTCGTAATTTCTTTGTAGTAAACTTTACAATGGAAAGTAACAGTTTAATAACTAATAGGCGTAGAATCCATAATAATTTATAGGTTGAATATAGAGATATGCTTGAAAATCTCTCTAGACATATGTATATTGCTCAGAGACCGGAGTTATATGGTTTACGAAAAAAGATGGGGTAGGGAGGTTTTTATTATCTACCGTTGATATAATTAATAGGGTTTCTGTTATTTTAGGGATGATAATGATTAGTTAGCTGTAGACCTTTAAGCTATAGATCCGTTAAAAGTGCACTTAAAAATTTTTATAATTGCTCAACATTTCCAGAAAATAATTTCTATTCAAAGTAGAAAGGTAAGTGAAAGTTGTATGTTGTGCGCACTAATTTTGTTTTATTCCGGATATTGCAAAAAAAAAGCGGAAAATGGAAGTTTCTGTGTCAGCCAATCACAGTGGCTATTCAATGCATCACTAGCGTAGCGCAACGGCCATAATGCAAAACTTGCTTGGATTTTGCCTAAGTTTTCCATTTCGGATGGATATGCAACAAACCGGGGTAAACAGCCCATTACCTTCCACCAGCTGGTCAAAATATCCCCACCACCTTCTCCCACTCTCGCCCTTTCCTTTGTTCTCTACGACAGTGGCGCTAGCAAACTCGGGCAAATTCCCATAAAACTGAGGCAAAATGCGGGAATTTGCCTCGATTTGCCTGTAGTGTGGGCCCAGGGTTAAACGCCTATAGGCAAATACCTTCGTTTGAGGGCCCTACAATTACATCGCCTAATTTACAGCAATAATTATTTTGTTTTATTATTTTTTTTAATTTAGATATAAAATAATTAAAACAACAATGTTGCTTCAAAAGTTTAAATATAAAAGGGAAACGGAAAAATCAGTTTAAGAGAAAATGAAAATCGATAGATGTGATCTTACTAACGTTTACCACAACATACAAATTAATATAGAATATAGGTTTCAAAGAAAGTTTGTAACTAACAAAATTATGAAAAAATATATTATTTGAAGGAAAAAAAATATATCTATTTTAAAATATTACCAATTTTAAGTTAACAGCATCGACTGAAAATTTTCAAACTAATACAATCTAATAAACCAAAATTATAGAGGAAAACAAATATTCTAGTGAAGAAAAAACAGACTTAGTGTTCACTAAGTTTTTATTTTTTTGTTTTTAAATATTATTAACTGAGCTAAAATAAATAAAGCGTTCAATAATAATTTTTATTATATATTTTGTTACAAATATGTAATTGATAATGCTAAACTCTTATATTTGTGGATGGATATAATATTATCCTCAAATCAACATTTGTTAGGCTCAAAGACCTCATTAAAATCATTAGCCATGATTTTTGTTTTATCATAAATTAAATAATTAATTATTTGTCAGTAGCTGTCACGATGTACACTATTTCAAACAATAATCATAACAATACGTTAAACAAGATTTTAAAAATGTATTAAAACTAAGGAAGTATGATAAAAGTCTAACTATTTACCGTACGTTCTGTACCCCTAATTAATTATTTTTTATATCGCGTATGATGATCACAGACCGTTCAGATAGAGTTTGTGAGGAGTCAAATAAAATAAGTCCACTTTATTGAAATGATTATTGTTATAGAAGAAAATAATTATTTATAAAATTAACAATATAACTTCACTTTAATTACACAATTGAAAAATATATGTTTAAAAAACATAAATAAATAACTGGGAAATTAACTACTGTGGAGGAAAAGGAGTAATAGTAATGTAGTATGAGCACCCCTAAACCCATCTATTATCATCTGAATTCATATCGCTGACATCGTTTTGCCAGTTTAGAGACGGATCTAATGCCACTTATGAAATCAGCACTGAGATTAAAAACTTGCCCTATATTTGCGCTTAAGGTGAAGGTGAAGGGCAAGTTTCTTAAATTAGTGCTTAACCATTGAAAGATTCCAGATACTCATCAATGATTTCAGTGGTGAGTTTAGGAACTTACCAACTGTTACGTTGATGAGTTTAGGAACGGCCTAATGGATTTCCGATACTCATCAATGATCTTAGTACTCAGTTTAGGAATTTGCCTTAACCAAATCAAATGATGAGCCTAACAGAAAGAAACCTCTTTAAAACTGAAAAAAAAAAAAAAGTGGTCGTTACTTTTCCAGTCTCACAGATCCCTGATTAATGGTAACGTTTTACAAGTAGTGACAAAGACACCCTTAAAAACTGAAGGACCAAACAATGAAAAGCTCTTGCTGAATAACGCGATTAGATATGGTTAAGAAAATTGTTTTCTCTTTTTATCCAGTCTTGTTTGGTTTCTTTATATTACAATGGTAAACATGCTTGAGGCAAAATAATGTGGACAGTTGATGTGAGAAAAACATATAAGAAGTTTTGGATTGTAAAAGAGATAATCTTTTTTTTAAGTACTCATTTGATACTATTTCTTATTTGCACAATTGTTCTACAATTTATTTTTAACAAAATCGTTAAGAAAGTATAAAATCAAAAATAGGATAAAGTATCATGTATCTAAAAATAATCTTTTAAAACAATTTAAATAAACCAGAAATTAAACATGAAGATAGACGAAAATATGCTATGTTTAATCTAATAACAAATGTTTAACTTTTTTTTTTCAACAATCGGGAATACTATAATTATGTTAAATAATGAGCTACTTTTTTTCCAT